ATTTTTGAGACTAACTTGTCTCCATAATTGTATTATTGCAGTAACAGTCTCTTTATAAGTGTTTTATACACCAGAGGTAAAGCTGCTGTTACACAATGGCTGTTTCTCAATTCCAAGAACGCAGAGATTGGACTTACGCTCTTGTGGACAGCGGTCTTGCCAGGTGTCCTCGGAAAAACGAACTAAGGAGACGGCGAGAGAACGCATCCTTTGAGAAATGAGAAGCTCCGTTCTTCATGATGGTCACATGACCTTCACACATTTTAAATGGTAAATTATTTAAACATTACAGCATTCATACAAAGATTTATTATTTTCCCCCTTTTCAAAATATATACTCTGCATAAAAAACATTATATATATGTGTTGCACAATATAAATAAAACAGATTTTAATACGAATTTCAGCAAACAAACACCCTTAATGTGTTTATTCGTTTATTAAGATGTCCATGGTGATGTTTACTTTCACCGTTTCATTAAGGGAAACTCCTGAGGTAAATAAGTGATGTCTCTAAACTTTAATAATAAATCTAGATAAAATGCTGCACTTCCCACCTCCAGCCGCAATGACTTCTGGGACTTCCAGAACAAGATCGGTGCTCAAGTCTGCATCGGTGCATCCTCGATATCAAGAACACATCCGGGAAGTTTCACATGTCCTCCGTACTTGCGGTCTTGAGTATTGGAACTGAACTTAGGCAGCTGATGATGACGTTGCACGAGAACACAAGACCGCTGATGAACGCATATTGAGAAACAGCCAACGTCAAATTCGCCTCTAGTTTGACTTAACCTGGAATAAGGATGTGCTGACAGCATCCCGCTTCTTCATATCCGTTGAGGAGATGTTGGCTACACTCCCAGCAGATGCTGAACCATGCCAATCTGATCTCATTAACTCTACAGCAGATCAATCTGTTACTGTAGGGCTGCTCGAGGAGTCTGTATCACTGGGAAACCACATGGCTCATTTCACTAGCGCTCAGGGCAAACACTGCCAAAACTGCTTCGTCATATGAAAGTAAACATACACTGGAGCTGGACCATTAGGCGAGAAAGAAACCGAAATCTGTAACCTATAAATGATTAAATTTCTACATGTTTTTGTTTAAATCCTGTTAATACCAAGTCACATAGTTACTATTAGGCATGCAGGAGATTGGATTAAATTGATGTTGCTATATTTTGGTTTTCTGCGATATGAAAATATTTCACTGATGGATTGAATAACTCTATTTTGAAAAGAATTCATTATTCAGGGTGTCCGCGGGGTCTTTAAAAGTTAATAAATTATTAATTATTAAATTAAAATATTAAATGATTAATTATTAAAAGTTGATAAATTAATGTAGAGAAATTTAAGGCCCTTAAAAAGTATTAAAAAGTCTTAAATGCTATTTTGCAAGGTATTAAATTGTATATAATTTTCGATTATACAGCGTACGGTTGCATGCTGAAGTTTGCCTGAATTAAATCAGGATGCTGTGTTGTTTATGAAATCAGTGAAATCCTGCCAGATTTGACCTCATTCTGCTTTGTTTACTGCAGCAACATCGTTATTTCTGCAGTTATGTAGGTGCCAACCTGCTGAATTAGCTAGGTTTAATAGATTTTATTCAGTGTACGAGTATGTTTTAGTTTTTGATCAGTTTCTTGCATTAATATTTAGTAAATGTACTGTAAGTTAAAATCTTGCCAGTGTTTCCGGCTGAAACCCAAAGTAGTTATAAGGTCTTAAAATGTATGGAAAGAGCCTTAAAAAGACTGTATATACTCTGTTATTTGAGAATGGTTGGGCTGAATTTCTATGGGAGTGTATCTGCATAATTGATTATGAATCATTGAGTGGTTATTTTTAACTAGATTTTTAGGACGGGAAAAAACATGCTAATAAAAGAAAAAAGTGCTTTATATTGCACTATATATACAGCGAGGAAAATAAGTATTGAGCACGTCATGTGTGTTTCCTGGGAGTAATATCTGTAAAGGAGCTGTTGACATGGACATGAAGCAGATTTTGGTGAAAACCCAAACAATACAAACATACAAAAAAAATCTGAAACAAATGTTGTGTTTAATAACACTGGAATGACAGAAGGAGAAAGTGCTGAACTACTGAAATGTGTTTAATACTTAATATAAAGACTTGTTTAAAGACGTCTCTCATATGGAGAATGAAGCCCCAATGCATTGCTCACGTGTGAGTGACTTTAACAGAGAGTCAAAATCTTGATGCTTCTGTGGGTCTCGTCTATCAAATCTAAGCTTTATTCTGTATTCTCTATTGGATTCGGGTCAGGTGATTGGCTAGGCCATTCTACAGCTTGATTTTCTTTCTCTGAAAGCATCTGAGAGTCTCCTCGGCTGTGTTTTGGATCATTGTCTTGCTGAAATGTCCACCCTGGGTTCTTCTTCATCCTCCTGCTGATGTAGATGTTGGACTGAAGGATCTCTATACGATTTGTTATAAATGTTGGATCAACTTACAAGTTCAAAAAAGTTATAAATCTGCACGTCACGTGCATTTCAAACTGTGGGTTGAGATCCATACGGATCACGAATCAACCTCCTAAACAAAATATATATAATGCAAAATGTGCAAGTACTTGTGAAAGAAGTAAAGCTGAACTGGTCTAAAACATGTGGTGCTAAGCTCCATTTTTCAGTAGCTGAATGGCTGTTTGTTCAACACTCTCGGCTGTTTGATTAGCCACTGGAAAGATAAGTGTGGCTGATAAGATAAGCAGAGCTTGGCCCCCAGTCAAAAGATTGCGTTTATATACCTGCAACACATAAGGTGACTCAATAATCAAGTCCGCTTGCAGAAGTGGCTGTTTAGGTCTATTTTGTTTTAGCATTTATTTGAAGGTGCTCTTCATGTAGATTCTATGATTTATACTGGGGGTCAGTTGAATGCTTGATTCTGATTGGCTGATTCTGAGTTATTGAGTTATTTGGCGACACTGTGGCTCAGCGGTTAGCACTGTCCCCTCACAGCAAAAAGGTCGCTGGTTCGAATCCCATCTGGGTCTGTAAGTGTTTCTGTGTGGAGTTTGCATGTTCTCCCCATGTTGACGTGGGTTTCTTCCAGGTGCTTCGGTTTCCCCCACGGTCCAAACACATGTGCTATAGGGGAATTGATGAACAAAGTTGGCCATAGTGAATGAGTGTATGGGTGTTTTTCCAGCACTGGGTTTTCAGCTGCCATCCCCCACATAAAACATATGCTGGAGTAGTTGGTGGTTCATTCCACTGGAGCTGTTGGCGATTCAAATCATGCTGTGTGAAATGTGTTCTGATTGAAAATAACATCAGCGATTACCGACAGCCAATGAGAGAGCAGCATCCGCTAGTGTGGGTATCTGCAGGCCAGCCGGAGGTTGGCGAAGATGTCAAAAGCGCTCATTTTCAGTCTATTTGGACCCAAATAGAGGAAAAACTAGTGTAAATTTGGCAGCAGCGCCTGGGTCTGTTTGACGTGTCATCCGAGCGATACCACAACCAGGTCGAACGAGAAAAAAGTTGAGGAGAAATTGCTTATTTCCCCACTAGGGTTGTAACAATATACCGGTATGACGGTCTACCACGATTTGAACGTGCACGATTATCATACCATGAACAATTGCATATCAACGGTTTTAACCCTTAAAGACCGAGACAGGCGCCCGCGGCTAAAAATAAGTATTGCTCTTAAATGTTTAATAACTTTTGATCTGCTGATCCGATTCATACAATTCAAAGATTGGCATAAAGAAGAGAATCTCAGCTTTCCAGTGCTGTATCACATAACATTCTCTCCGGCTCCGGAATCAGTGCGGTTACGTCATCAAAATTTGACAACGCTGATTTGACAAAGAAACGCTCGTCACTGTGTCTCCGGACAAACCAGACATGATACATTGATGCATTGTCCCTCCTCCATGCCCAGATTGGTTCAAACTCGCTATATCACAACCAATAAGCATAGGTTTCACTTGTTTGTGGACCAACAATGAGCTTTTTGAACAACACAGAATGAGAGATAGGCATACATTTATGCGCGGCTAAATAAAACGCAAAAAAAAAGTTTTGCATGAAATAATTCTCATACTAAGTACTTTTGCATGCACAGCAGCACAGAAACATGACAAAACAGTGACACAGCAAAGACGAACTGCTGCTCTTGCTGTTTTCAAAAGACACAAATGAAGGTGCAGCTGTTTGTCTGCATTGCAGACAACCAAATCCAAATCCATATCCACAGACAACCATATCCATGCTGGCACATAAAACCTAAGGATGTTCCATATTGAATCTAGTTTCGTTATGTAACTATAGTATAGTAAATATTTATATCTATTTTTTACTGAGGATTTGCACCATGTTTATTTGGACTTTATTTGGACTTTGACACATTATTTATTATTTTCTTATTTTTTATTTGTTCATTGTAAGTGGTGTTGTTTATAGTAACTGAAAATATATTATTTGGAAAAAGTCAAATTTGCTTCACTGTTCTATTATTTTATAACATTTGTAACATACCGTATACTGCGAAACCGTCAAACCGTGGTATTGTTTTAGAAGATTATCATACCGTGAAAAATTCATACCGTTACAACCCTATTCCCCACTAAAGACGTCTTTCTCATTATATAATTAAGAACAAAAGCTATATTACATGACCTTGCATTCTTTCCATGTTATTTCTCGTGTTTGGTTGTGAGTCGTAGTTGTCGGCGATTCTTCCTATTTTAAAGTCAGACAGTGTGAAACCCCCTGTCGCTGATCCATCTTGCAGTGTAAACAGTGCACGGACAGAACGCTAGCCCCAGATAGTCATGCAGTGTGAAAACATCGGTGACACGACTTCTTTGAATATCATGAACTCTGCATAAGCCGAAAGAAAATAAATGCATGAAAATGAAAAATAATAAATTAGGCTGAACTCTCTCTTTAATGTGTAATCTTCTGCATCTTAAGTCAGTGTTGCTGAGCTCTATCGTGTCTGTTTTGCAGATCTTCCTGCTCGCGTGTCCGCCCTCTAAGACGGCGATGGTTATCTTCAGGTAAGAACTGTAAACGCTGCACCACACAGATCAAGTCATGTGAAAAGTATCGACCTCAGTACCAATCAGTAATGAATTTATAATAATGTTAGAGCACTGTTGAGCTCATTCTTAGCCCTTGTGTACTGTTCAGATTGACTCTTCTTTTGGTTATGTTGGTGGTGGCTTTGCTCCATTGACCATTGTAATGATTGCAAAAGCCATGACAGCAGATAATCATGCATTCTTGATTGTTGCTGGTTTTCCTTGATGGAAAGAGGCAAAATGTGTCATTTTTACTGTTGATCATCACTTCATCATTTCAGTTGAGCCTAAATGATTGGTGTTTGTTAGTAGTGGCTGATTGTTTTGATATAAAGGTGCTGGCCATATAATTAGATTATATTCAAACAGTTGATTTATTTCACTAATTCCATTTAAGTGAAACTTGTATAATGTATGCATGCATTCCACACAGACTGATATATGTCAAGCATTTGTTTCATTTAATTTAGCTGATTTTGTACGACTCAGCCTTTAAAAAACGCATTCTATACAGTATGAATGTGACCAGTATAAATTAGGGTTGGGCATCTAAGCTATAATGCCGATCCGATACGCATCTGGATACAAAGAATACGATCCGATATATTAGCGATACATTTGTGACATATTGCGATGCAACACGATACGATTCACACCCATATCACGATACAATGCGATAATTCAGCACTAACTAATTAGATCAAGTTTATGAGATTGTGAATGAGGATGCTGTGCCATTGAATGAGTTTGATTATTTATAAACCAAGCAAAACCAAGACTTTTTTTACAAACTGGCTCTTCTCTCAGAGTGTCAGTTTACAGTAGAGGGCCATTTTAGAACATATAGCACATATTATTTAAGTATTTTCAAGATAAACAGAATGTATAAGTGCAATATATATTAAAATATATATATTTGCACTCTTTCAACATAAAGGTTTAGCATTGCACAACAAGAATTGTGATTTAACTTTTCAATTATGAAAACAAGTTTTACAAAGATATATTTTGCCACTGATTATTCAAAACTTAAGGTGGTGAACTAGCAGTGTTATGCTGCTTTGAAACATCACTGTCACTGTAAACAACAGGCTAATAAAAATATAACAAACCAGCAATCTTCTTGCTGTGAAGTGGTCAAACTACCCACTGTGCCACCGTGACACCCATTATTTTTATCATTATTATTATTAATATTATTATTATTATAATTAAATAAAAATAAACAGGAGGAGGTGTTTAAAACCTTCGTTCTCCGTGACACTAGGCTGAATATCTTTGCAGATGAACAATGCAGTAGCATTCGTTATTGGCGTAGAGCGAGCAGAACTGTTGCGCACGGAAAAAAAAAACTTGCAATGCTTTTCTCACCACTTTTGGAGCTGGTAGCTACAGTTGAAGCAGTGCGAAAGCCGGGGATGCAGGAACACTGGAAAATACTTTCACAACAACACCGTGGCGCCGCTTCAAGTGAGATTTCAGATTAGTCATACTGCCCGCGTATTTTACAGATGCGCGGCACATTTTGCAAATTGCATCTGTCCTGTCATGTCGTCCATCCTTAAATCCATAATGTTGCCATACTTTAGATTTAAAACTCAGTGGGGAATAAAATGTTTGTTTTGCTTCTCGCGCTTTCTGAGGGCGCACCACTAGCTTCATCCACACACCTGATACACTGAGTTGTAGTGTAAGTGTACACATCCGCAAGTCCGTTGCTAAGGCTTACTTTATGTAGGTCGATTAAATTATGCACCAAAAACAGGTTGACAACACTTGTTAATAAATAAAAAATACATTCTATATTAAAAATATAAGCTGTATCTCGGAAAAATCGATGCATCTCGCAAAAACCGATGCATCTCGATTTGCTTCCAAAATTTCATTCATCCTCTGCTGCTCTACCGATGCACTTGCATCGTGCACGCGCATGACCGCGTATCGATACATATCGATGAATCTTCCCATCCCTAGTATAAATAGAACCCGGACGCACTACATCCGCCATTTTGTCATGATCATGTGACTTACCTTTGTGAGTTGCATCGCTTCACTCCCATTCACAAATTCTCTCATGGAGCAACATGAGATAGCGTAGCGTCCATCTAATCCAGACTTCAGAATCTCGCCGGAAATAGTAGGTCATCCGGGTACTACTTGCATACTGAATTTTGAATTCTATGAATTCAGACGTACTACTCAGCTTACACTCTGTTTTTAATGTACTATATAGTATGGAAGCATTTCGGATGAGCCTCGGTCTAGTTCTGTTGACTACACAATCAAGGTAAAGACTGCTGATTTGACAGTTGTCCAAAAGACAACCATTGACACCTTGCACAAGGAGGGCAAAGCCCAAAAGATCATTGCAAAAGAGGCTAGTTGTTCATAAAGCTGTGTCCAAGTACATTCATAGAAAGGCAAAGAGAAGGAAAAGATGTCGTTGAAAAAAAAGTGTACACGCTATAGGGATAACCACAACCTGGGGAGAACTGTAAAACAAAACACATTCAAAAGTGTAGGGGAGATTCAGAAAGAGTGGACTGCAGCTGGAGTCACTGCTTCAAGAACCACTACGCACAGACGTATGCAAGACACAAGTTTCAGCTGTCGCATTCCTTGGGTCAAGCCACTCTTGAAGCATCTCATCAATGTAATGAAAGCGTCGTAAATTTGCTCGCAGCGTATTTTTGAAAGTCAAAGCATTTCCCCAAAATATGTGTCAAAATAAGATTTGCTGAAAAACAGAGAAAGTCGTGGCAATATTAAGACTCAAAATCACCCAGGAGTGGATAAAAATGGTTAACAAGGGTTAAACACTTCTCATTGGCCATTGTGTTCACATGCGCAACAGAAATTACTCTGATTGGTCACGAAGGTCATCGATTTACGACTCTAATATGCAGCGTTTAAGAATGCACGTAAATGTTAGTGGGAATTGGATTTCGGTACCGAAGTCGATACTTTTGACAACCCTACACAGATCTCAGAGCAGTTCTTTCTTTCAGCTTGAGTGGAGTTACTGAAACGAGTGTGGTGTTGGGGCTCTCCAACACATGAGGAATTCAGACTCTTCCTAAAATAGCCTTTCAACACCTTTACTCTGAATGTACTTTACTGGAACACATCAGTTACCTTGTCAAAATGAAACCGTAGCTGTTTTGTATTTTTAACTTTGGAGGCAGCACTGGTAAAGATGTTGAACCATTATATTGTGGTGATGATTATTATCATTATGTTAGTCTTTATTAAGGTTCATTATGCTCTTCTGCCCTGTTGCATCAGCAGTTCAAGCCAAGTGTTTTATAGAGTTGGTTAGTAAGTTTAAGACTGCAGAATTTTAGGGACACTCACTTAATGTGATGTATATAATTTTCCAAAAACATCACCGCAAGCACATATTTTCTATAAACTTGCATTGCATTACTTATAGTCAGCAGTTTTCATGTAACTCTAGCTAACGTGCATATTTAGATTTATTGTATTTACCTTTGAAAGCGTAAGCATTTTAACCACACACACACACACACACACACACACACACACATACACAGGTTATTTTGTGGATTGTGGGGACATCGCATACAGTTGAAGTCAGAATTATTCGCCCCCCTGTTTATTTTTTCCCCAATTTCAGTTTAATGCAGAGCAGATTACTTCAGCACATTTCTAAATATAATAGTTTTGATAACTCATCTCTAATAACGGATTTATTTTCTCTTTGTCATGATGACAGTAAATAATATCAGACTAGATATTCTTCAAGACACTTCTATACAGCTTAAAGTCACATTTAAGGCTTCACTAGGGTAATTAGGGTAAAGTTAGGGTAATTAGGCAAGTCATTGTATAACAGTGGTTTGTTTGTAGACTGTTGAAAAAAAATATAGCTTAAAGGGGCTAATAGTTTTGTCCTTAAAATGGTGTTTAAAAAATTAAGAACTGCTTTTATTCTAGCCGAAATAAAACAAATAAGACTTTCTCCAGAAGAAAAAATATTATCAGACACACAGTGAAAATTTCCTTGCTCTGTTAAACACCATTTAGGAAATATTTAAAAAAGAAAAATAAATTCAAAGGGGGGCGAATAATTCTGACTTCAACTGTAGGTGTCTATTGTTTTTCTACTGTACAAACTGTATGTTGTATTGCCCTCACCCCAGCCTACCTCTAAACTCAACCCTCACAGGAATCTGTGTGCAGTTTGTCTTTCTGAAATAACTCAATCTGTGTGATTTTTAAGCTTTTGGAGAAATCAGCACATGAGCAGTGTCCTCATATTTCAGCACCTTCTTGTAATACCTGTCATACCTGTGTCATTATACAAATGTATGTCCTGATGTGTCACAAAAACACAAACATGCAAATGTAGCCCCCTGAGCTTAAAGGTGCAGTAGCTGATTTGCCTTAATGCTGTCTGTTTTATGTTTGAAACACAGCCCCTCCCCATTCAAAGCCACGCCTCCTAAAATCACGTACGTGCACATTAAAGGTGACAGCAGACCCACTAGATCATGTCAATCGCCAGTTATAAAACTTTATAGTACTTTATAAAACTACAATTCCCAATGATAAGCTGTATTATATCCAGCAGAACTCGTCATAATGTGCAATATTTCATGCATCAAGGATCGCTGGTCTCTCGCACGCTTTGTCCTAAAGTCACTACTGTTTAATTTGTGTTTGGCTATAATGTAATATATTAGAATTCTAAAAATTGTCAATTGTAATATATTGTAAATGTGTGTGATTTTAGAAATAAATGTTACATAGATATCAACATTATATCACTAGTGATCTCCGTTAAGCCTTAATTACTTATTAAACAATATTTTAAGTGGTTAGTAGTGACTGATTGTTTTAATGTGTGTTCAATAATGTCGCATCATAAATGCAAATGATTGTTTCCGTGTTAGCAGAGCTCACTGGAGTTTCCAAAGGCGTGCTTTACTGATGATGTCACCAGACCACAATTAATAACGACCTCAGTTTTAGATTAATAAAACTTTCCTTGCAAATGTATCACACAGGCTTGAATCTAGCGCTCTTTCCCTGTGCTAGACTACATTTGATTGCAATTGGTGACCTTGGTCAAGCTGCTTCAGGATTGGCCAGCCCAGTCACCAGACATGAACATTATTGAGCATGTCTGGGGGTAAGGAGGAGGAGGAGGAGGTATTGAAAATGAATGAATCTTGATGAACTCTGGGAGTCCTGCAGGAACGCTTTCTTCTTCATTCCAGATGACTTTATTAATCAGTGATGTGAGTCATGTCAGAGATGTATGGATGCAGTCCTCCAAGCTCATGATGGAGTCAGACACAATCTTCATTCTGTCTCCACTGCAGCAGGACTTTATATTCTATACTGGACATTATTTCTGTTCAGTGATGACACTTTAGCTTGAGCAGAGTCAGACCGCACTGTCCTCATCAAATCAGTCAACATCAAGACATGATCAGATTTTATTGAGCTAAAATAATCGTCATCTTCAGGTACTTTGCCTTTCATATAAGACACTTCTGATAGAGGAAACCCACAACAACATGGGGAGAACATGCAAACTCCACACAGAAATAACCCAGCCGAGGCTCGAACCAGCAACCTTCTTGCTGTGAGGCGATCGTGCTACCCACTGCGCCACCATGACACCCTCATTGTAAATAGTTAAATAAAATAAATCTTTATTAAACTTACAAAAGGTGCAATTTCTTGTGTCTGAATGCAAAGTCACAGGTTTTGGAAACACATGCAGATGATCAGCTGTTATCATGGGTAAACGCCACAAATTGCTCAAATATAATCCCAACATGTGAACTCAACATTGCTAATCCTGCGATGTGACTATTGCAGACATGCACATTGCGATATCGATGCTAAAGCCATGTATTGTGCAGCTGTAAATGCAGTGTTTTTTTGTTTTTGTTTTTCTGAGCTTTTGGTTGATTTCTAATGTGTTTTGCAGACTTCAGGTCCACATGCTGAACGGGGCCCTTCTAGCTCTTCTCTTCCCAGTGGTCAACACTAGACTGGTGAGTCTATTAATGCATATATTAATGCATTTGGCAGACACTTTTATCCAAAGCACTTTTCGGGGTGTTTGTGGGTATTAAAGGTTGATCAATCAGTTTAGAGAAAATGAGGGCCCTTAAAAAGTATTTAATAAATCCTGTACATTATTTTCCCAAGTATTCAATTTCATTTAATCTTTTCATTCTGCAGTGCTCAGCATATATGCGTTCACCCCTCACAAATCTGTCTTTTAAATTAATGTTTAATAAGAAGCTCGACAATATTATATGTGTGCATATGCAGGGTTCAAAGCTAAGGATTTTTTAAACGAGTCCGATCGGGCCATTGGTTGAAATTTTTACTTGCCCTGCCAAAATTTTCACTGGTCCCACAAAAATCGTTAGTGGCAAAATAATGCCTGTGAATCTAGAATTTTAGCATTTTAAATATGTTAATAAATGTATAATGAGCAAAATTCAAGATTTTATGCAAATGAAAGAGCAGTATGAAAAATGTGCTGGTGTTTTAATGCATTTCTAGATTATTTTTATAAAAATGACTTGCCAAACTGACAACTGTTTTTTTTTTTTTGTTCTTTTTTTTTTCTCAGTTTCTTAATTTTGTACCCATGTAATTGTCTGCTTCTGAGACTTTAGAAACAGACGTTTTCTTTTAGCCTCATTGTTTAATTTTGCCGCCATGTTGCCATCTTTTCGCTGTACTGGTTGTTACCAGGTTACAAAAAAAACGTGCTCATCGTTACTGGCCGATAGGGGACAATCCTGTCTACTGTCCCGAGTGTCTTTCACGCTGACCCTGGGCCACCGGGCAGTCCTTATTGTTGAGCCCTGATATGTGATGTAATGTGTATTTATAAAGCACATTTATTGTGTATGGCCGTACACCCAAAGCGCTTCACAATCATGAGGGGGGGTCTCTCCACACCACCACCAGTGTGCAGCTCCACTTGGATGATGCGACGGCTGCCACAGGACAACAGCGCCAGTGCTTCACCACACATCAGCTATTGGTGCAGTGGAGAGACAGTGATAGAGCCAATTCAGTGAAAGGGGATGATTGGGAGGCCATGATTTTAGAGGGACTTTGGCCAGGACACCAGGGTTACACCCCTGCTCTTTACCAGAAGTGCCATGGGATTATTAAAGAGCACAGAGAGTCAGGACCTCGCTTTAACGTCTCATCTGAAAGACGGCGCCCACTGACAGTATAGTGTCCCCTTCACTATACTGGGGCATCAGGACTCAGGTTGAGCGCCCCCTGCTGGCCTCACTACCACTTCTGACAGCATCCTAGCTTTCCCATGTGGTCTCCCATCCAGGTACTGACCAGGCTCAGCCCTGCTTAGCTTCAGTGAGTAACCGGTCTTGGGCTGCAGGGTGACGTTGCTGTGGCAGATACATTAGATTAGTCAGTACTGAAGCCTAATCTGGAGCTAATCTAACAAGGCAACTTCCGATAACGGTGCAAAAACTAGTACAGCCAAATTTATATACTATAGAAAAGTGTTAAATAGGTTGTAGGTTGTAATTTAAAATATTTTGCTTGTATTTTATTGTAGTAGCTTTCAATTTCTAAATATGTTTGACTATATGTACGTCAAATGGCGCTTCGTTTTGTTTGGTGATGGCGCTGATCATAAGGATGTTGGATTGTGGTTTAAGTGCAACCACACAACAGGAAGCGGTTTTGTGTCCTCTGCTTGCTTCAATACCATGTTTACAATGATTTACAATGCCTTACATCACAGGTGTCAAACTCCGTTCCTGGAGGGCCGCAGCTCTGCACAGTTTAGTTCCAACCCTAATTAAACACACCTGATCAAACTAATTGAGTCCTTCAGGCTTGTTTGAAACCTACAGGTAAGTGTGTTGAAGCAGGGTTGGAACTAAACTGTGCAGGGCTTCGGCCCTCCAGGAATTGAGTTTGACACCCCTGCCTTACATTAATAGGTGTATTAGCCTGTGCTACAAATAAAGGCAGGATGTGAAGCTCTTTGTGTACAATTATCTAAATATATATATTTTATCTCTTCCATTACAGCTTCCGTTTGAGAAAGAGATCTATTACATTCAACACTCCATGCTGTATCTTGTGCCAATCTACCTCTTCAGAAAAGGAGGTGAGTTTTTACATCATGAGTATTTATTAACAAGTTAACAAGATTGTGTGTGAACAGTTCGCATTTGATTTGAGTTGAATATGAATCACTGAGTAGAGATGTTCTCTGAAACGGGTCCCACCTTCGGATCTTAAGCCATTAATAAAAGGATATATTCTCAACAAATGGCAATCATAATGGGATCAGTGCCCAGAAAATAAACTTTTTGAAATTCAACCTGAAATAGGAAAAAAATCTAATTTATTTTTTAAGTCAAGACACGATGAGATTGTATATACGCAGCAGCACGAGTGGTCTTAAATGAGCACATGTCACTCCGCTGCTCATCCGTTTGCACTGGCTGCCAGTTGCTGCTCGCATCAAATTCAAAGCTCTGATGTTTGCCTACAAAGCGACTTCTGGCTTTGCTCCTTCTTATCTGCTCTCACTTCTGCAGATGTATGTGCCCTCCAGAAACTTGCGTTCTGTGAATGAACGTCGCCTCGTGGTTCCATCCTAAAGAGGGAAGAAATCACTTTCCCGAACTCTCGCACTCAATCTGCCCAGTTGGTGGAATGAACTCCCTAACTGCATCAGAACAGCAGAGTCACTCGCTATTTTCAAGAAACGACTAAAAACTCAACTATTTAGTCTCCACTTCACTTACTAATCTGCAATTGCCTCTCTGAATATCACACTAACTGTAACTGTAAAAAATAAAATACTAATACTACTAATACTTCCCTTCTTAGACTTTACAGACCTGAAACTTGCCTATAGCACTTATTCATTGTTGCTCTTAGTTGTGTAAGTTGCTTCCTTGTCCTCATTTGTAAGTCGCTTTGGATAAAAGCGTCTGCTAAATAACTAAATGTAAATGTATATAGAAGATGTCGCATTGGACACACGAGACTCACACATGAACATTTCCTCAAAGGAGAAGAACCACCAAAATGCCTTTATTGCAACAGAAACCAAACAGTTAAACATATTCTTGTGAAATGCCCCATTTTTAATGTTATCAGACAACAATATTTATCTGGAGAGACTTTAAAGGAAATATTTTTAAACGTGAATCCATCTAAAGTTGTAGAATTTTATCAAAAGGAAATCTTAAAAAAACTGTTTTAGATTTTTATCTTATATATTATCATTATTATTATTTATATATTTTACCTTGTACATTATTTATTGCTGTTGATGACTTTTAATTGTTAGAATATGTTTACTTGATCTATTTTCTTTTTGCCGTGACATAGCCATAGACGCTGAAATGGCAATAAAATTAAAACTCTCTCTCTCTCTCTCTCTCTCTCTCTCTCTCTCTCTCTCTCTCTCTCTCTCTCTCAAATTCAAATTCAAATTCAAAGAGCTTTATTGGCATGACTGTAAAACAAATCACAATGTTGCCAAAGCAATAACAAAATACAGAACATTCATATAGATAAAAGAAATATAAGTAATAATAAACAAACACATATACATATCGTTATATTATACATATATGTTGTCACAATAAACAAGTTAATAATAAAAAAAAGATTAACAAAAGTATATAATAATAAATGGTAAAGGACAGAGAGCTTTAATAAGGGATGAGGGGGTTCAGCCTTTTTCTCTCATATGGTGGCATGAGGACACGTACTGTGCTGCTAGGTGGAGACACTTTTCATTTTCTCCCAAAATATAATGGAGTTTCTCCGTATTTGTGGCTTGCTGGAATTGTGGTAGAATCAGAGACATTTGTGTGAAGTAAGCTTCTCTGATGCTCTGATATTTGCTGCAGTGAGTGAGGAAATGCAGCTCATCCTCCACAACTCCAGCAGAGCAGTGTGGACACAGTCTGAGCTCTGGGCTCCTCCAGCTGCGCTTGTGTCGGCCCGTCTCCACACTCAGACTGTGTCCACTCAGACGGTACCGGCTCATCAGCTTTCTCTGACCAGGGCTCTTAATGTTGGTCAGATACGGGGCCAGTTCATAACCAGGTTTAATCTGGTTGAAGCACGCTAACTTTTTTATTTGTTGTACTTTATTTTGCCAATTGAGTTTATAATCCTCCTGGGTAATCTTTTCTATTTCTTTACTCTTTATATGTTGGGACAGGGTTTGTGAATTTAGTTGGTGTTTTTCCACCAGATAGTGCATGGGGTCGCTGGCCGGATGTGCATTTCTATATATGAGGGCTTGCTGATGGTAGCTCTCTGGGCTCTCTCTCTCTCTCTCTCTCTCTCTGGGCTCTCTCTCTCTCTGGGCTCTCTCTCTCTCTCTCTCTCTCTCTCTCTCTCTCTCTCTCTCTCTCTCTCTCTCTCTCTCTCTCTGAAACGGGTACAACTGTACAGACATCTTAATGATCCGTCCATGCGCGATCATCATAGAGATAAACAGATGCACAATAATTCTCGGCTAGAAATTGCAACAGGAGTAACTTGTATTTAACACAAAAGAAGACATTTCGAACAATGTTGGAAACCGGTCACCATTGACCCCCATAGTATTTGTTTTCCTGCAATAGAAGTCAGTGGTTACAGGTTTTCAGCATTCTTCGAAATATCTTCTTTAGTGTCCAACAGAAGAAATAAACTCTTACAGGAACTGGAACCATTTGTGAGAGAGTAAATGGTGAGTAAATGTTCATATTTTGGAGTGAACTATCCCTTTAACCTTTCTGTTAACAGGCTTCTGTTGAAAAGCGCTGTAGACATGACTGAAATCAGTGGTGTAGGTCATCTGAGATGACGTCAGAACTGCACAGGAGTGACTCTCAGATGGAGATGAGTGAAGCTGTAGTGTCATCTAATGTTCACACTGCACTACTGCAGCTCCAGCATTAGCCTATAACAGCACAAAACACGGATCTGTGTCTGTGAGGAGCTTAATAACTAAGAACTAAAGGTTTCCTTAAGCTCAAGGTTATCTATTGCATAAGAACAGACATTGTGAAGCTACAAAAAACAATAATAAATGCCTTAAAGGGGACCTGTTATGCAAAACTCACTTTTACAAGGGTTTTAAACCCAGTTGTGTGTCAGCAGTGTGTGAATATCTCCAGCCTGTAATGGTCAACATGAATGAAATGTATTGTTTATAATCAGACTTGATGAATGAAACACTTTGATTGACATTCTCCTTTTGTACGTGCCATTGAAGTGGTTGCAAATGATTAGAAATTGAAAATCAAAGTTAATTTGTCTTTCTAGTCTATACACTTGCGTTTTATTAAGTAGAAAATAGATCATAAATATTGTAAATTAATGTAATGTGATGCAACGATTTTTCCGATTGGCTACTTCTGCCTGTGGGCTGCATACCTAATGAGGGGGAGGGGCTTGCTGCTCAAACAATACACAGACTCTGACGTGAAGCAGCAGCAGCAGCTCCGTGTCCCTCATCAGGCGGTGAGGGCGCTACATCATCAAAGGGGGAAAGCCCCGCCCACTAGTGCCCATCTCTCCATCTCATTAGCATAAACAGCAGCCCTGAGTGAGAAGCAGCCGTCTGTCCATTCGCCATCCGAGTGTTTGAGCTGCTGAAGATCATGTCAGCATAGACTAAGAGGATTATAGATGTGGAATTTTAGATGAACAGCGACAGGAGCCACATAGACTGACAGAAGCATTATGGGGGATTGTGTGTAGAATGTTGAGGAAATAAATGACTTTAATCCATTTTGGAATAAGGCTGTAACATAAAGAAATGTGAAAAAGGTGTAGCGCTCTCAATGCTCTCTGGTTGCTCTGTATATGCAAGTAAAATCATTTTAAATTTGTGCTGATTTATAAATGTTTATTCTATATTATTAAATGAAGAGACGAAAGCATCAACAGCCCTGTCATCGGGGGCTTTCTGTCCTCATTCTGCCAAGAATAAGGCACAGAATAAAAAGCCCTGTTGTAATGTTTGCTCAGGTGCATGATGAGGCACGCTGTGAGTGTTCGCTGCAAGCATGATTGTGTTTGCTTGCTGTAAGAGCTAAAGGATGTTCAACTCCAGCACAGGAACAGATGTTGTTGATTGAAAACAAGCGCCTGCATAAACACATCAGCTCCTGCAGAGATCTGTCCTGTGATCATACAACACATGTTTTAATGCACATTTTATCATAGAAAATGCAGAAATGAAACGTCAAGAGTTCGAAAACATGCATCTGTTTAAATGAGTCAGATATATGTTTATTATGATAAACTGATGGACACGTTTACAGTTGAAGTCAGAATTATTGGCTCAACTGTGAATTTATTTATTTCTTTACTTTAATAATCATTCGCAAATGATGTTGAACAGATTCAGGAATTTGT